GTTCAAAGTCTATTAAAATAATCTGTAAAAATAATGATTATCGTTAAATATTTATTACTAATAATCTGCCTCTAAACCTCTTTCTATTACTAGTTTGTATGTTTATCTGCAAAATATGTTTGATTAATATCTCGCATGACAAAATAGGTCAATACGGTATAAAGACAAGATTTAAGGCATATATTCGTTATACAATAATACAGTTTGGAGTGTTACGAATAATCCTGCCAAATACAGCTTCAGGCATTCACTTTAAATCAAAGTCTCTTGAGGGATGATGCTTAGAAAAAAAGGATAAAGTGAAAAAAAATAGCGTAAGTACCACAATGACCTTTTAATATCCACGTGTTTGCGACATATGTTGTTTGACTAAAGAAATCTTTATTATGTATTTTTAAAACAACATACAAGCCAAAATGTATCCTTAAAATATAGAAACTTAAAAAAGATACATGTATTTAAAAGGGTGTTAATTCCTAAAATAGAGAAGTAAAGCTCTTACAACAATTTTAAAGCGATGTTAAAATTATTGGAAACTCACTAAAATGACAACAAATGACCTAAGCATTTGTCCAGATCATTAATGAACTAGATATCATATCTTTTAAGTATTGTTTTTATTTACAAGAACATTGTTTTGTCAATAAGGATCAATTGGAAATAATATGTTGACAGTTCAGGCTGACAAAATAAGCGTTAATGTAAACATTGCCGGATAAATAAGAAGTAATAAATTAAAGGGGTGTATTATTTTTCATTCATTTCATATACATTATGATTGCGGTCTAATGCAATGATGATCTTAAAGTGAATTCCATAAACAGAAAGTAAAGTTTCTTTAATTGGCTATTTAGATCATTCTGAAACATACAACTTAACTTGATGATATTAACAAAAAGAATAATACACTTCGCAGTAAACACAAACTTTTTAACATTCGATTTATTTTGTCATCTGTTTGGTTAACATTTTGTACTCTTGCGTGTAAACCTAAAATACAAAATATATCACATCAATATGGCTTTGTCAATAATTGAAACTTTTCTAATGGCAATAACTGTCGTCTGCTAATTAGATGTCAAAATGTCAAATGTTCCATTAATTGTCGTCTGCTATGTAAAAATGACATGTCACAGTGTTTATTTTTAAAATATCAATAAAGCCTATTCAGCGTTTTAAAATGACAATTGTATTACAAATAAAACTTACTATTCTCTCCTTTTCTAAATATGCATATATTGTTACAGAATGCGCAAACAAAATGCTTGTCAGATGAGTTGAATAACTCAACAACATCATAATTTATGTATCTGTAACTTATGCGTTAATAAATATCCGCATAAAAGTCGGACTAAAATGGACATAGGCTGTTTCAAATTCATTAAGCATTTTTTTAATGTTTTTCTTAAAAAGTTATAAATCATGACGAAAAATGATATATCAATCATGTATTTTCAGTTATTATTTCAATGTAGTGCTGCTTTTATCACACCAGGTAAACGAAAAAGGTACCTCTTTCGCAGGTTTACGATGAAGCGCTTTATCGCTCCTTTCGAGATAGTGCATGTCGCTAAAAACAGGTGTCAAGTGTTTTTCCTTGTTAATGTATTTTGTAAACACTATACAAAATATCAAATTTCGGAGAATGCTATGCCATGAAGATAAGATTAACATTTACAGAAAACGTAAAGTTGTTATAATTGTCTTTAAAATGTAGTTGTGGCGGCGTTTGCCAGTTTGCGAATTGAGCGTTGAACTGGACTGTTTCATCATGAAGCTGTTGTTTTTCCTCCAGTTTTCATCTAAACCGCGATTCAGATTGAAAAACATATAAGTTTCAAGTCCTTTTTACTGTAGTATTTAGTTCAATTTGTGAAAAGGGCAAAATATAGTACTTGCTATTGAAGAGCTATGTATATGATATAAATATAATCATTATGGTCCAGCTAAGCTATTTAGAGGTAAATACCTTATTAATCTATTGTTAAGATATGTAATAATGAGGAAATTAAAAACATTTTTTGACTGATAATGTACTGATTGTGATTATAGTTGGACGGAAACGTTTCGTTATAAAACCTTTGAATACTAGTTTGCAAACTATGAATATTAATATCGTATCGTTTTTAGTAGCAAAAACACAAGGTTTTGTTTATAGGTTTTACCCAGATAATTATAATTGCAATCTGTTTGAAACATGTTTTCCTTAAAATGAAACATTTAAGTGGAATGTTCTTAAATGATAACCTATGTAAAAAAGTTTTAGTAAAATTATTTGATGTGAATATAATTGAACATTAAAACAAATGATTATCGGAGCAACATATTTGAGTTCTTCATAATAGGATAAATATATTATGTGAATTTGGACCGCTTTAAACTGCATGCCGTTCCCTAACCTGCTAGCTTGTTATTGATAAAGATCAATTACAAAAATCCTGTTAATCAAGATCACAAGCATACATTTGTTGAAAAAAATATGAGCTTCATCCGTGATGTAAAAGACATGATAAACAAAGAGAAAACACAAAAAGGTAAAGAATGATAAGAACACCAAATGTCTAGATTAAATAATGAAGAACAGTAATAAAATCGCTTCACTTTCTCTATAGCTTTAGGCGAAAATGTAAGTACAGCCTTCTTAGCAGAGGACACAACCTGGATAAAAAATATTCATTACTTTATCTTAGAAATGGCAATAATAGAAAGAGTGTTAATGTACTTTTCACGTAATCCTCAGTATCTTGTCTGAACTATTCACTTTCGAGGTTAATATTGTGATAAGGAAAAATGAAAACTTTCTTTAATGGTATCACAGTAAAAGTTGTATTTTGTTCAATGTCTATCGAGGGAAGTTTTTTAGAGCGTGGGATGTAGCTTGCACTTTATAGTACCGCCCATGAACGGGCTTAATCAAACTGAGCCTGCAGTATTTTCTTTTCTGCCCTTTTAGACATTCTTATGAACTCTATTTCTCTCTATCTGTATGTCTGATTTAGAATACTTTTCAAAGTTTCTCTTAAATACATGTAGTTTTGTTTTCGTCTTATTTGTTTTATTAACTTATGAGAACGTGAAGAAAATATGATAATATTCACATATTAAGGTAAAATAACATGTCATAAAAGGATATGTATCATTCCACATTGTATAGTTTTCTCATGAAAATATTTGATGCGTTGTCATTCCAGTGAAATGATATAGGTCTTGGAACATTCTCAAAGGAAAACCTACGCTCCTTTTCCAAAATAAGGTTTGATGAATATGATTAAATTCCCATCAAGCCTGAAAAATTGTGCTTGTTTTAATATTAATCAGCTTTTTGTTTTTATGTTCTGTTACAATTTCAAGAAAGAAATCATTGCCCTTTTGCAAGAAACAAGGCTTCATTTAAAATGTATTGAGTATTGTGTTAATAATGTGTATATATTTCCTGTTTATCAAGTGCTCGTAATGAGAACTGGAATGAACCCAAAAGCAATGATGAAGGAAATTGCTGATGTTTAACGTAAAAAATGTAGGAGATAAATTCTTCTTCTTCAAGTATGCCATTAGATTTTTATCATGTCTACAATTATAGCTAGCCATATTAATGTAATAAATTAATACGATTTTATATTCTTTTTCCTTAGCTTTGAGGTGGACACTTTTTAAAATGACAATAAACTGCCATAAAAAAGGTTGCAAATATGAGCGCATTTATACATTCAATGATCACTACCCTTTAATTTATTATGATTTATTTTTGAGATAAATATGCCGTCATGAGAACAAGTTTAACTTGTACGGGAAAGGCTGCGAGAAGTTTATTAATAACGTTTTATCATTTAAACGTATAATTGGCACTACTTTTCTTTTCCAATGACACAAAATGTCCTGCAAAGTATTCGTGATAAAAAGGGAAATCTGATATAAAAGAGAATAAAACAGCACTTCATTACAACATTATTTCCCAAATGTGATGGCAGCCCATTAGCAATTTGTCACGTTTGCATGGATTAGCGAAGCACGTAATATTTGTAATGTAGGCTGACATATTTTAAATTCAACTAAACATAGGAACTTTGATGGTTATAAATTAAATAGTTGTCGATTACAACCACCACTTACCAATTAGTGAATATATAGAAACAATGTTTGACCAGTGATACATTACCAAATTATTAAATATGGTTTTCATTTGTTTTCTAAATATAAAAACATAGAGCATTCATTGCACATGTATGTGGCATACATTGTCTGACTGCGAAACATCGTAATAAAAATGAACATAAGAAAGGTGTACATATTTGTTTTTATGATCAAACAATTGAACATAATTTCTTATAAAAAAATTTCCGTGACAGTTTACAGGTAATAAAGTTGTTTTACGTGCACGCAGTTGCAAATTGTCTCAGAAATGTAACTTGCATTTTTTTGCTTCAATCTAAAGGGATAATCAAATTAAGAAAAGCAGACACGTTTCTGATTCTCTTTAAAGTCAGCTCCTTTCGCTATATTGAAGGGTTGTATAATTAATTTGAAGTGGCTTTTTAAACGACATCAAAGCTTGATATTAATGTCCCGATTCTTAAAGAATAAGAAATTATCTCTAATTTAACGATTCATTTTCTTTAATTGAACAGAGAGATACTTCTATAATTTCAAAATAAAATTAAATGTAAATCGATGATAAGAATGTTATGACTCAAATTCATGTCCTTATACCCTCTTAAATCAACTTTAGTCGCAACAATAATCGCAAGCAAAGGCAGAAACCTAGCATGATAGGTTAGATGCTTTAGAAACATTCGGTGTGTGTTTTATCTAAAAGAAACTTAAACTATCTTTTTTGAAGCAAACAATATGTGAATAGGCAATTTAACGGTAATTTTGAATGTATACAATTGTTGTTTAACATGTGAAGGGCGGACAAACTTAATGCGGACGGACGGACGACCAGACAGATGGACGGACGGAAAGACTGACGGCGAGCAAAAGAAACAAAACTCCCAACAATTTTGGTAGACATAATGATTATAATTTAAAATCAGCATGGTAAACTTTCTTTATATTTTGCACAAATGTTAAGAATAGTTTCTAGATAATTATTATTAAAAAGTATTTGATGCCCCGATTACATTTGACAAAATCTGACGTGATTTTTTTACCCCATCCTCTTCTTAATTGATGTAATATGACAGTAACATGTCTTAATAAACAAAAAAAATCATATAGATTTTACATTGATTTATTTGAAGTTATTTAAACATGACTGTATAGTTTTTTTTTATTATCACTTTTCAACAAATGAAATTATGATAAATGAAACTTTTCTACAGATAATAACAACATAATTGTTGTTGTTGTTGTTGTTGTATAAAACCGATAAAACATTTGAACTTTACATGTCAACATTTATCAAACAAGATGGTAAACTTTTGTATTTTTTTATATTTATGTCTAGAATATATTAAAGTTTAATAATATAAAGTTTTAAACGCCATTTGAAAAAAGTGTAAATTATACATCTTATACCTTAATGTAAATACGTGACTGCGACTGGTCAATTAATATGAAACACGAAATCCAGTGAAACTAGAAAATAGGCCCAGTTGGTCTATTTGCTCGCAATCAGAGGGTACAACAATATCTCCTTCTTTTAAACGATAAATGAATGACCCTGATCCTGACTGATATCCACTATTGACATCAGTACCACCACTGCTTACTTCTATCTGTTCAATGCCGTTGACAGAAATAAAACATACGCTGTCAAGTAAACTCGGGCTTCTGATTAGAGTTGCTGTGAAGAAGTAGAGTCCTGGATGATTACAAGTAAACACGCCCGAGGACACATTATAATCGTCGCCTGAATTGTATATCACCTTCCTGAACTTAAGGACAGTTCTATCGGAGGAATTATCTGGGTTTGATACAGCAAATCCGATCGACACGTCTGAAAAATGATATTTAAAATTATAACAAGTCATAATTTTACACAATTTTTTTGTTGTTGTTTCTTCCCAAAATAATGTCTGCCATACAAGATAAAAAATCTGAAAACTACCTCTACCCTTTTTATTAGAGTGCAACCGTCATAGTTATACACCCATTTATTTTATGGAAAGTGCCTGAAGTTGTTTTTATAATATTGATGCAACTTATAGTTAAGATAATTTAGAGCTAATCTATGTAATTGTTGAAGTTAGAATATTAATTGATACATATAAAGAGCGACGTACTTACTTGTTTCATTTAATCTGTTCGTATTTAGGAGAGTTTCTGTCTGAATCTGTCCCTGTGCGTGTTCAATCGTATCCATTTTTTGGCTTAGAATCGTCATCAGTTTCTGCAGATCCGCTGATAAAGAGTAAACGGTTTACAAAAGTAATAAAAAATCAATGTAGTCAACATGTTCTTGTTCCAGAAGTATTTAATCTAATTATGCATGAAGTTGGCGACTTAGTGACTCAGCGGCCAAGCGACGTGAAGTTGGCGGCCCAGCGGCCTAATGGTGTGAAGTTGGCAGCCTAGCTGTCCAGCGGCCTGACGGCATTTAATTGATACATATAAAGAGCAGTGTACTTACTTGTTTCATTGAATATGTTCGTCAAATTTTGGAGAACTTCTGTCTGAATCTGTACCTGTGCGTGTTCAAGCACGTTAATTTTTTGGCTTAGAGTTGTCACCAATTTCTGCAGATCAGCTGATAAAGAGTAAACGTTTTACAAAAGTAATAAAAAATCAATTTAGTCAACCTGTTCTTGTTCCAAAAGTATCTAATCTAAGCGATTTATCATAAAGTCTACATCAGTGATAAATCTCTAGATGAGTTAACAGAAATACACGAGAAAGCTAGTCGAGAATATTTCAAAATAATGTATCAATTTATATTGAACTTCGGAAAACTATTATTCTTAATTTGAGCTTATTCAGAGACTGACGGAAATAGCCGATTTGTTTCTATTGTTCGCAGATACAATTCGACCAATCAGAAGTTCTTACTTTTGAAAAATTTTCACAAATCATAAGCTGCCAAAAGACATCTCGCATGTTTCTTTTTAAAGACACAAACTTGTTATGCTCATTATCAGTATTATGACGATCTTCCAACATCGTAACATTACTTTCCCCAATGAGATGTTTCGTGCCGAGACTTGGCAAGAGAAAGCAATTTGTACGGCAACTCCAGTCCGGAAGTTGTCTACATCATCCCACCGCTACCACCAAATGTATCGGTTTAAGGCACACAAACCCTGTCTGTTAAAACCTAGCTAACCACAAAGAGTGGTATGTGTCCTTATATATTGGAAACATTCCCTTATGTAAATTTACCAACTTTAGTTTTTGCATATTATTATGTATTATGACGTTCTGTCAATGCCGTTACAAAGGTAGAAAAATGTAAGCAAAGTTGTATTTTGACTTCCATACAAAATACTTATTCTACAAATTACCAACGGTGCAAAAGTGGCAGGTAAGAGTTCATGAATATGACTATTAGGATTTAAAAAAAGAAACAATAATAAGATACAAAAAAGTGTTTTTAAAATAGAAAATGATAGCGTTTCTGAGGCATAGTAAGCCTTAAGTATTTAAATTTAAAACATAATAACGTATGAATATGACGGCAAGAATGTTTTTACAATTTCGACAAGATGATGATGATGATAATGACGATGATTGATCTATGTTAAATGTACAATGTTAAACTAACTCAATAAATGTTTGTAATATATGTAACAAGAAAGCATGAGCCAAAATATTTATTTCATATTTATAAATCATAAGAAGTATGGGGCGCTTTATCCGTCAAAATAGAGCATCGTAATATATGCATACCCTCTTTGTTGGGAGCGATATCCATTGCAATTCTGGCCAGGTGCCGAAGAATAAAGCTCTCTGGAATTATTATTAGTTCAGACATATGTGGCGTAACATAGCTTATGTAGTTCGATTTCTTGACCTTTTATATTCATGATATTGATTCAACGCCAATGTTTCACATGCAATTATCAATTTGTTTATCATTTTCACACACTAAAATATTTATTTTTTTCATTTAGAAAACACTGTATAATTTGACCCGGGAGACTCGATTTTTTGGAAACATTAAACCCTTTTTGTTTACCTTTTACCGTTACAGTCAAACCCCTTTTTCTGTTCGGCGAAACCCCTTTCCCTGTTGGAACCCTCGTTTTTAAATTTCATTGCCCGGACAACGGGCCCATTTTTGGTCCAAAATACCAGTTACCTTTCCCCCTTTCAAAATTTTAAATTTATTCACTTTTGCTTGCGGAAAATATCATGTATGTTTTTTTAAAAGCAAAATTAAATGGCTTTTTAAGGGGGGAACTCCACTGGTTAAGTGTTTAAAAGTCGATTTCCCAAAACATTTTGCCCCGGGGCGCTGATCTTTTTCAGGAATTAGTTTGTGTAAATAAGGTTTTAATTATATTTTGACCTTTTTATCCAGATAACATTAATGAAAAAGAATTTTTAAATAATATAACACAAAAGAAAAAAAACAATAATTTCGTACTATATTTGCCTGGTGTTTCTAATTATTAAGCCATAAACAAACAAAAATAAAGATTATATTCTTATCAGTTTAATATAGCTGTTATCGTCCAATAGACTTGCAGCAAATTCGATAAAGAAAATCTTTAGTACTGACCTTTATTATTTGAAGCCTTTGAAACGTTTATACTCATGTATAAAGAAACAGATACTGCGATAATCAACAGTCCAATTAAAATTGAATTTACGAGGGTACACCAAGTACACATCTTGGCTGAAGGAGTAGTTTTATCTGCAAGCTCTCCTGTACCATGTCGAACAGTATCGTAAATTCTGCCTTGCTCAGTCCTATTACCTCCCGACGCAATCGCAGTAAAACTGTCTTTTGCTGTGTCTGAATCCCAGTAATGATTGTTTGACTCCATAACTACATAAAATTAAATCCCGTTTTTTTTTTAAAATTTAAAAATAAAATTTTCAAATTTAAAATTCAACAGTTCTCTATACGGGATCCAAAAATTAAAAAGTTTATAGGGTTTTGTGTTATTTTATTTGGGATTAAAAATTGGGCAATTTCACCAATTTTTTGACCCCTTTTACCCTTTTTTAAGTAAAAATTTAAACCCGCGTATATAAATTTTTAAATCCCTTTTGGGGGAAAAGGGTTTTTGTAAATGAAAAAAAACAAACAAACAAAAAAAACAAAGGGAAAGTAGAAATTTTTTTTCCCCATTGTTTTATTTTTTGGGAAAAATTTTGGAACATTTTTTAGATTCTTTGAAAGATACTTGTTTTAAAAGTCCGTTTTATTTCCCTTTTGAAATTTTATAAAAAATAAGGACCTGGTTTAAATTTTAAAGGGCCTTTTGAGACGAGTTATTGAAGTATACAGTTCAACCTCCGATTTTTGAGAACCATAGACATGTTGCTGTTTTTTTTTTGTTGTTGTATTTTTTAAGATTTTTTTTTCTAAACATTTTTATTTTTTATTTTCTATATTTTACATTCGGTAATTAACTGAATTATAAAGATGAGATAAATATCCAACTGAAAAAGGATTTTATACATACCAACTATAAGTGGTCCATCAACTATAAGTGGTCCTTCAACTATAAATGGTCCATCAACTTGAAATAGTCCGTCAACTATAACTGGTCCATCAACTATAAGTGGTCCATCAACTATATATGAGCCGCGTCACGACAAAACCAACAGTGCGTTTGCGACCAGCATGGATCCAGACCAGCCTGCGTATCCGCGCAGTCTGATCAGGATCCATGTTGTTTGCTATCAGTTTATCTACGTGTAATAGAGTTGGTAAGCGACAATCATGGATCCTGATTAGACTACGCGTATGCGCAAGCTAGTCTGAATCCATGCTGGTCGTAAACGCAGCAGGTTGGTTCTGTCGTGACGCGGCTCATATGTTCCATCAACTATAAGTGGCCAATCAAGTATAAGTGGTCCATCAAGTATAAGTGGTCCATCAAGTATAAGTGGTCCATCAACTATAGATGGTCCATCAACTATAAGTGGTCCATCAACTATAAGTGGTCCATCAAATGGTACATCACCTATAAGTGGTCCATCAACTATAAATGGTTCATTAACTATAAATGGATCATCAACAATAAGTGATCCATCAACTTTAAGTGGTCCATCATTTTTTAAGTGGTCCACCAACTATAAATGGTCCATTTATTATATGTGGTTCAGCAACTTTAAATGGTTCATCAACTATAAATGAACAGTCAACTATAACTGATCTATCAAGTATAAGTGTTCTATTATATATAACATCACCTATCAGTTGTCCATCAACTATAAGTGTTCCAGCATCTATAAATTGTCCATCAACTATAAGTTGTCCATCAACTATAGGTTGTACATCAACTATAATTTGTCCATCCACTATAAGTTGTCAATAAGTTGTCCATCAACTATCAGTTGTCCATCAACTATCAGTTGTCCATCAACTTTAAGTTGTCCATCAACTACATTGTATAAGTGGATTTTGAGAAAATTAACATGGTATACCATTACTAGCAAATACAATGAAATGAAAATGGTGTTATGAAAAAGGTCAATAAAAATATCTAGTGCATATTCTTTTTATTGTATGCTATAAAGTGTTTAGAAGCAGAAAATATTAGATGTATTTATGTATTTGAAAATTTGTCATTTATGTTATCTTCTGTCACCATATATAACGCAACTTACACATTAATTTTATTGAAATAATGGGTCAATTAGAAAAAAATTGTGCAGATACGAATATTATTACTTTAATATTACTAATCATCACAGCCAGATAAAATTACATAAAAAAGGTTTTTAAAATGCTCCTATCCGGTAGGTGCGGTCATATCCGCGGATATGAGTCATATCTGGCATTACGTCATACTGTTAACAATCAAAATCACATAAAAAATTCTATAATTCTTGTAGCATGTATGTCTCAGGTATTTCGTTTCCACCGGTATTCAAATTAATGTAAATGCTAGTTTTCAACTAGAGTTTTATTTGTCTTACTTTCAAAAATTAAAATATACGAGAGGCGTTCAAAACATTTGTAGACTTATGTTTTCATTTCAGAAATAATTTTGATTTAAATTTTATCAATTGAGAGATTGTTATTTCTTCTTAAAACAATGAAAATTCAAATCGATAATTACTCAGTTTTAAGACTGACAGCCATTTCCATAGCCATGATAACAAAGATGTATTTAATGTAACGGACGCTACTTTGAGAAGTTATGAGCGATGCACGACACGACAAAAAATTGAAGTAACGTCCAGTGACGTCGCTGACATCGTAAAACACCATCGTAACCTTGGGCGCTGACATTGCTTTATGCGCCGTCAAGTACAGACAGTTTGTCATACGCGGTTGCAATTTCATTTTCATGTGTATATTTAATTTCCGTTTCCGGTCATGTAATTTTTATGAATTATGTTTGCCTAACAAAAAGGTTATAAGCACAGCATACGAATAAAATGAACACCACTCGTAATTCAATATTTTGTTGTTCTCTACATATCTTTATTCTATGTATAAGCAATCAGTTTTAACTGGCACATACCTTCAACTTATATTTTTGTTGGGTTATAACACACATCAACATGGTAAAAGTCTTTCTAGCTTTACTGGTAGATTGTGACCTCAGATGCACCTCCACATGTCTTATTTTAGAAACAAGCCAGTACCACAGTAAAACCAGCAACATCTCCGCTTACTAGATAATTTCATGGTTTAAAAGAATTCCAAATATCTAACAGGATTTTGAAATAAATAACTGCAGTATTTGGTAATCTCGAACTGTTGTGATTTTTCTTGTTCTTGTTGTGGTTGTTGTTGTTTGTTGTTGCGTCAATTTCGTTTTCAATCCATATCTTATATTAAATCGGTTTAAATGCCTAATATTTTAATTAAATGCCTAATATTTAAATTAAATGGCTAATATTTAAATTCAACTGTTAATGCACTACTTGATAAAATGTTTTGTGACAGTTAAGGTGTGCGTACATGTGTTGTTTACTTCATACGACCTTTTAGTCTTCCCAAACGGCTGTGTATCTGGACCATTACTTACAGGAAGCCAGCTCTGGCCATTAAAACCGATTTGTTACTTTACCTGCCTGATGCATTTTAAGTCCCATAGTGCTATTATTAGTAAACACTTGACACACTTTAAGATGTCATGAAAGCATACTTAGGTTTGTGTCCGATGTTACTACCTTGTGAAAGTTCATAAATAATAAAGACCTTGTTATGAATTTAGTGCAACTGAGACAGAGTTATTGAAGTATACAGTTCAACCTCCAATTTTTTTTGTTGTTTTTGCTTTTAAGATTCTTTTTTGTAACACTAAATGTTGTTGCATTAGTTTTTTAAAAACGTCAATATGTGAACTAAAAATAATATCAAAGGAGTGGAGATATATCTAGCTTTGACTTAGATTTAGTACTGTACTGTATACGTTTATATTTTTATTTTAATTTATTATATTTTACATTCGGTAATTAACTGAAATTTAAAGATGAGATAAATATCCAACTAAAAAAGGATGCAAAAAAATATTAAACTTATCAACTATAAGTGATCCATCAACTATAAGTGGTCCATCAACTATAACAGGTCAATCAACTATAACTGGTTCGTCAACTATAAATTGTCCATCAACTATCAGTGATCAATCAACTATAAGTGGTCCATCAAGTATAAGTGGTCTATTAACTATAAATGGTACATCAACTATAAATGGTTCATCAACTTAAAGTGGTCCATCAACTATAAGTGGTCTATCAACTATAAATGGTTCATCAACTATGAATGATCCATTAACTATAAGTGGTCCATCAAATGGTACATCAACCATAAGTGATCCATCAACTATTAATGGTCCATCAAATATAAGTGGCACATCAATTATAAGTGGACCATCAACGATAAAGGGATATCAGCTATAAATGGTCGATCAACTATAAGTGGCCCATCAACTATAAGTGGGTCATCATTTCTAAGTGGTCCATCAACTATAAGTGGTCCATCAACTATAAGTGGGCCATCAATTATAAATGATTCATAAACTATAAATGGTCCATAAACAATAAGTGATCCATCAACTGTAAGTGGTCAATCGAATGGTACATCAACTTTAAGAGGTCCATCAACTATAAGTAGTCCATCAACTAAAAATGGTCCATTTACTATAAGTGGTCCATCATCTATAAATGGTCCGTTAACTATAAGTGGTCCAGCAACTATAAATATTTCATCAACTATAAATGGACAATCAACTATAAGTGATCCATCAACTATAAGTGGTCCATCAAATGATACATCAATTATAAATTGGTTTTCAACTATAAGTGAGCCAGCAACTATTAATTGTCCATCAACTATCAGTGGTCCATCAACTATAAGTTGTCCATCAACTTTAAGTTGTCCATCAGTTATAAATTGTCTATTAATAATAAGTGGATTTGAGAAGCTAGCAAATAAAATGAAATGAAAATTGTGTTATGAAAAAGGTCAATAAAAAGATCTACTGCATATTCTGTTTATTGTATGCTATAAAGAGTTTTTAAGCAGAAAATATTAGATGTATTTATGTATTTGAAAATTTGTCATTTATGTTATCTTCTGTCAACATATATAACTCACACATTTATTTTATTGAAATAATGGGTCAATTAGGATACGATTATTATTTCTTTAATATTATTAAATTAAATGCCTAATATTTAAATCAAATGCCTAATATTTAAATTAAATGCATAATATTTAAATTAAATGCCGAATATTTGAATTAAACTATTAATGCACTACTTGATAAAAAATTTTGTGTTTACTTCATACGACCAGACTGCTGTGGATATGGACCATTACTTACAGAAAGCCAGCTTTGGCCATTAAAACCGATTTATTACTTAACCTGCCTAAAGCATAAAGTCAAGGACCAAATATTTATTGTTCTCTAAATGTACTAAGAAAATCTGGGAAGGTTATTAAAACGGAAGCTAAATAATTGTTAAACGATATACAATGTAATTTACTTTTATCAATTAAATAAGTGAATGCTAGTAACGGAAATTAAACACGACTTGAAGTGAAATGTCGATTAATACACTTGACTTTGCTTTGTTAACTACCAAAGCTGAATAATAAGATAAACATATTTTAGGTCAAATAAATTCGACTACCACCTTTGTTTACTACGTGATACATACTTAAAATCATTAAAATTAGAAAATCGTTTTTACTTAGGTTCAAGACCGCACCCAATAGTAGGCGTATCGAAAACAATAACAGTTACGACGTTAATTAACAATGGTAGGATACTACGTCATGGCTATAGAATTTGAGCTTATTGTAAAAAAAAAGTTTATAAATTTATTGCCTGGTTTAGGCTTGAAAATGGGATATATGTTTTTCTCTGTATGCTCCCACTCGGACTTTTACCGAAACATATAGTAAGTAAGAAAATTAAGAAAAAAGGTTAAAAACCTTCTACAAATTTATTTTTAACTCACCGGAACATAAACCGAGTCATGTGTACAGAATTTTCTAAATTGGTTTCAAATATTTCTATTCAAAAATAAGTTTTTTTTTTAAATTTTCTTTTAAATGGAAACTGCTCCCACACGGACTCGATTTCAGATATGCCCCCAATCGGACCCAAATATATACAGATTTTGAAAGCACATTGTTGTGGTAAGCTTTGATGGACTATTTTCACAGTTTTTACACCATTTTGGCAATAACTAATATATATGTTTGGTGACATTAACATTTTCCTACTTTTTACAGAGATCTGTAAAAAGACATCGTCGGGCAGGAACAAGGCGCCATGGCAAAGATTCAACTGACAGCTTCACTTTACAAAAAGGTGCACTTGGCTTGTGTTGGTATCGGATCCGAAGGGATGATTCAAAATTATTGCCAACAACAAAGCTAGGACTGTAAGACGGACAGGTTGGATCTCAAGTTTTGTTGAGATGTTTAATGAAATGGTGGTGTTTTATAAAGAAATTATAATACATTGTTTAGAACTAAACTGGTTTATGATTCTGTTGGACTCGCACACACATTAGAGGCCTGCATTTATTTAATAATTCCTGAATTTAATATTTTTCTTAACTATTTAAAACGAAATGACTTGCGTGTTTGTTAAACTCGTGATTTGAGATTTTAAAACATCATAATGGTACGTTTATGAACATAAAGAAGTCAATATATATCCGTTGATTTTAATACTTTATTAAAGAACAATTTGTAAATCATTTTTGTCATAAACTGGTAAAAAGTCAATGGTCTGTCATACCATGACACATAAAGCATGTATCATTATTATTGACAACTTTGACAATTTTAAGTCTGAAAAATATCATTTATTCATATATTTTTTACCTAAAATAACAATATGAAATAAATCAGAAAACAATTATCATAGTTACTTCTTTATCTCTGTTTTTTCCATATATCCTAGACATAATAAATCATGACAATAATTACAACTCCCATAAAAAAACCAAAGAAAATAAACAACAAAGAAGCATTGAGTGATTAGTCCTTGTCCTTATGCTCTGCTATTCACTTCTATTTAACATGTTCAATATAAAGTTTTAAGTTTATATCTCAAATACCTTTAGAGGTATGGTCCTTGCAAACAATTTATCATGTATTAAAAAGAGCAATAAATCCAAAACTGGAGGGTTGTCATTCTTTTTTGCAGTATTTTACTATACAGTAATCTATCCTCCAGTGACGTTTCAAATAAATTGATCCTTTATGACATATTGTCCAAAAATTAACGCAAATACTGAACAAAAGACAATTACTTCAAATAGCTATTATTCTTGTGTTTTCTTGAGTATTCCTCCTCACTGAGATATATCAACAGTTGTTATCTAAAATATTTGTTCCACCCATGCCGTGCCAAGATGTCCCGCCATGTGCTTCCTTACGTCGCAATGTGGTTCATACATTTTCCCATACTAGTCGCAAAATCAAACAATTTCTACAGAACAAAACTTTATTATATTTTCAAAATGTATAATCAATTTGTTTCTTATTTCAAAACTCGATTTAACGAGGAACTGTTTCAACAGAACCTATTTTTACTTATTCTTAGGCCGATAACTGATCCTGTAAGAAGACATATTTGCGAGTGTGTTATGGTAAAACATGTCACAACTTTAGTTATTTAAATATAAGTATCTTATTTCAAAGATGCTGTTTCATTGAATTATATTCTTTTTTTCAATTATCTCAAGTACTATAGCCATTCTTCGGTGCGCTACATGATTTTTGATACTCTTGCGTTTTCTTATAATAAAATTGTATTTTACCTTCGAGTGGACGAATTTTCTGCAGAAAATGGCCCAAGTGGGAGCATTCAGCAGGTGCGCGATGACGTTTTATCCTACAACTGATTGGCGTCCGCGCCGAAGCGCGGCGCCTGTTATGGAATGAAATCAGATTTTGTGAAAGGGCGACAGCAACTTCTCGAGCCTTTTAGTCGGTCATAATAAAAGCCGATCATTCCGATCGGTATGAGGGTGCTTGATTATTAATTAAAAATGAAATGTCGCGATATGTACAATGAATAGCGAACTAGAGAATTACGCTCTGCAAAGATTTTCAAATGAAATATCCTTTTCCGTCAATAAATCGCGCTCTTCAGGGTATTTTTATTTATCATCTTGTAGTACACAGTGGGTTATTATGGTATGTTATTCCGAAAGCTGTAATTAGTATGATGAGTTGATGACCTAAATATTCCGAAAATCTATTTATAGAGGGATGTACTCCTATCGGTTATTCCCGGTCTCTCCTGGTCTATTTTGACCAGGATAAAATACAAATGTACATGTATATGGTTTAAGAATAAACAATATTATATATTGAACGATTTGCCATAATTTACTGACTTTTTCCAGTTAAGTTTTGACTTATATAATCGTCGGCCAGTATGACAATTGATTTTTTTAAATAGTAGTAAACGTAAAAACTCAGCATTAAAATACCGGTAGCACATAAAACACAAAAAAGAAATGAAAACAATATTCATAAAATCTGTAATTTTTTTATTAAAATAGATATTACAATTATTGTATAATAAACAATTATGCTCAACATTGATCAACATGGTAATATAACAAGTGTCATATTGTTACTAAGTGTGAACAGATACCTTAAGAGGGGGTCTTCGCTAATAAAGGGACAATAACACAAGTGTGGTGTTGATCATGCGTAACATATGGATTATAAATGATTGTATACATGTATAGCCGTTGCTATTAATAATTAACCACGATCATAAAGAAATAACAAGTAATATTCTAATACCTCTGCCGGTGAATATCACATCATATTCAATGGCTCACTAGTCAATAATTGTATAATGTCTTTCGAGTGATATACAATTCTGGTAAAAACTAATTAACCATTGAAAAGTTTATAAGAATATCTTGTCATCATATATCTACTAGTTCATCTTCACCTGCTGCATTTCTTGTTTGGACGCCCTTTGATGATTTGCATCAATGCTTTTCTTGTTAATACTGTTTTGTATTATCATGTCTGTTTTAGGACTATTGACTTTTTGATTAAGCAATTTTCTAATTACGGATACTAATAGTTTTCATAACAGCCTATATACATGTATATATTTGTCCTGTAAGAGTATTTGCTTCGATATACCTAATGATTTAAACAAAGAATAAACTGTTGATATTGATGCCGAAACAATTGTTACAAGTTTCCATTTTCTACTTTCATAACGCCAATTTTGAAACTTCCGATAAAGTTTTCTCTTAAATACATGTATATGCAATATGTACTAGTATATAGTACGTACTTGGATAAATGCATTTCATATTAAACAAACTAGTTTTTACTTTATTTTTTTTTGAAAGTGTACCCAATATACCTGTTACAGAACAATTATTATAAGAAACAACTTGAATTGAATAAGAAGTAGTGCTTGACATTTTAACATCTTTCTCTTTAACAAAATAACGCCCCAGTTAATTAAACAGGGGTTACACAATTGTATGAATTCGTAAACCAAAAACACGTGGTCTTAACATTCGAATGGAATATCACAATCATATTATTTTTCTAAGAAAACTAATATACAGATGTGCCAAAAACAGACGTTGTCTAGTGAAAGAAATATGATACAATAGGTTAAAAGCACAGTTGTTGTTCAAATAAACTGGGCTTTTATAAATAAATAGAACGGAAACCTAGTAAACGTAATAAAGTCACATAAAACCCGGTTGAAAGGTAACTCGCAACCCCAAACATGTGAAGCACAAATAAGATACACCGATTTTTAATATTTAACATCATTTCATACTTCACTATTTTATCTCCCATGACGGTCAATGTAAGTTTTACGTTTATTTATTGACTATTACAAATATGCCCGTCAATGAATTGGTGGAAATCAATCTGTAGCAGTTAAGGATAATAAATTAGCTAATTTCCAGTTCGATTTGGATCACTCGGTGGTAAATGGCAGCCCATGCTTGATACAAATACAAATTTAGTCTAGAAACCAGCTTTAAAAAAAAAGTTAACTACGATTGAATAGGTATTAGTAAATAAAAGTATTTAATATATCTTTATTTTGTATTAAATTTTTACATAGGTAAATAGGAATGATTCGAAAGTATCACACTAGACACGTTGAATGTATGAATACACTGAACACTGTGTTTGTGTTGAAATTTTGAATTCTGCTTACGCCAATAAGCGTTGCTGGTGAGCGTCGATTACATTACGTCAATAAAAGAGTTTAAAAAAATTTCATGCAATTTATTGTGTTCTTTTAGATTTCATTTTTTTTCTCTTATAGAGCATGTTATATTACATGTACATTGTTATGTTACATTCAGAAAAAGAAGAACAAAATTCAATCAGTCGCAAGGATATTTTAGCTATTTCTTATATCATATTCTTAATCAGAGAACAATAGATTGATATTCTGCAGGAAAATTATCTTTCTACAAATCTAATACGTCACGTTAGAGTTAATTAAAGGTCGAGATAGATATTATATTTTTTTCTCTTACTCTCCACTATCAGATATATAACACTTCTTTTATGCATACGATATCGTGTTTATTGTACTTTAGTGTTAGATAAGGTGATAATGGACCTTGGCGGAACATTATTCCACACCTTTTCCATATGTTGCTAAGTCAACTGCTCACAAACAGTATCACAAACATAACCATGTGTTCTTTTGTGCAAACCAGGTCAACCAGTGACTATGTATTATCTCAGTGTAGCAATTGGGCAACAAGTTAGCTAATTTCAATAAAACTGTAAACACTGGAAAGGTCCATTAGATGCGGCCCAAATTCATGGTTCTAATAAGAAATAGGTAAGGGCAACCCGTTAACGATTAAATATCAAAGCTAAGTGAAAAGTAAAAGGACCTTTCACAGAACTGTTTAAAAATTAAAAAATCCTGCTGGAAATATTGAGCATTTGCTTAGAAAGTAGACAACAAATCGAACAAGCGACTGTATAAAAACGTGAACTATACAATTCAGCATACTATTTTGTATCAACTACAAGTCAGCATATTTAGACAGTGTAGATCTAGTATTCGGAACATAAGAACAAAAAGGTAATCAAACATTGTATGTTCTTGATTCTATAAAAAAAAAGAATACACAAGTCTATAAAAAAAGAATACCTTGTGTATTTTGAGAACTATAATTTGTGTTGTTCGGAAGTTGATTTTAAACGAAACAAAGTATCACCTTATATTTTGCATTATTCTTCTCATTTTTATTATTGTTCTTAATATTTTAAAGACAACAAGAGTTTTAAATATATTTCATCATATTGTGATGTTTTCAATTCCCTTTTTCAAGCCCCTCTTATTTCCCACGTTTAATGAGGTATTGTCTTTATTGCATGTAATGAATTTATTTGCTTAACTAATACATAGTTAAAGGGATGCTGTTAAAGCAATATACTAAATTTTCATTTACAGACATTAAACTGAATTAATTTAGATAAAATACATTAACATGCATATGCGTAGAAAGTGCTACAATGATACATCATTTGTGTTACTTGCTAGAATATTTATATATCTAAGGAACAGTACAATTAACTGGTAGAACAATAATTGTTCTACTTGCTTTTCTTATTCATTCATTAAATTATTTTCTTGTCTGAAAGTTGATGATCATTTTCCTTTACATAATGTGCATTATTGCACATATTTTTATTAAAATTTACTTGAAATTGGTAGCATGTTGGATTTATAATTGAAATGGATAAATTAGACAAACAATTTCATCAAACTAGTGGTTTTCCATATCTTAAGTAAATTATTATGGAAAAATAGTTGTCATATAAAATTTGACAAAAAATATTAATAAAAAAATAAACAATACAAAATAACATTGTTAT